ATGGATTATGATGCGATGGATATAGATGGATGGGTTAGATACATGGATTGGTCCAGTGGTTGTGGTGTTTGACCGTTTGCTGACGTGTAACATAACTTTTTACACATGTGTATTGGCCACCAGGGTTTTCCGGGACCGCTGGGGGCATAAACTCGGTGGCTGTTTTATTGGTCCCACCATTTAACGTGGGTTGAGAAAGTGTTTGTGTTTCCTTCTGTCCCATTGCCCGTTTTAAAACTATAGTAGATTACCCAAACCGCCAAAAACAACTAAACATAAAACCATACACCATAACAAAGTGGAATTAGTATGTCACAAGGGGATTGAAATATATATTATCATACTATATAGATACTATTCTCAGAATTTATATTGTTGTGGAAGCCTTGACGAGATATATGTACCTGAAAGCTCCGCAAAAAATTAACATCCTCATTATGATTTTATTAGGCATATTTTGCATCCTATAGTGCAGCGGTGTACGTGTGTTTCTTACTTCATATCAGAACGTAGAAGATAGCGGAATAGGAGTCCATTATCTATTCTGCTTATATCTATCTCTCCCTCTCCCTCTCCCTCTCTCTCTCTCTCTCTCTCTCTCTCTCTCTCTCTCTCTCTCTCTCTCTCTCTCTCTCTCTCTCTCTCTCTCTCTCTCTCTCTCTCTCTCTCTCTCTCTCTCTCTCTCTCTCTCTATATATATATATATATATAAACATACATACACATATATGCCCATATATACATTATTGTAACATACATCCATATATACCCAGACACATACAGATAAACACGTGGCAGCAAGAATAAATGCAACAGTGGTAACCAGTGTTTACTAATTAAGATCATTGATGTTAATTTTGGGACATTATGCTGCTACTATTACACGATGCGTTTCTTACTGTGAGGACGATGGCTCTTTTTTGTAAATACTGATTTTATTGTCAAAAATGATCTTATTGTTAATACTGATGCCATTTTTACATGCATGCAGATCGACGGTTGGTTATAACTTTAATAACGATTTCTGAAAATACAGGAGCCCAATTAGATAATTAATTAACGACAGCAGGTAAAATAGCAGGTGAGAAGTAGGGCAGGTAAACTTACCCTGGCACAGGGAGTGCTTAGCCTTGCCTCCTAACCTGCTAAGCAGAGTCTCTGCTAGCTCTCTGCTGAGAGGTGCTGCTCCACACAGTATCAGCTGGATGTGAGACATGTCGTATTTGTCCACCAGTGGATGCTTTGCCATGAACACTGCAAGCGGGGGCACTAACGTGATCCTGTTAATCTGTGCATTAAATCAGAATAGAATGTGAAACTGAATTGGTTAGAATTTTGCGCTAGAAAGCCGAAAAGATTCGAGCGAGTTCTTGGTATGCTGCCAAAATATGTGAGCAAGGATTTGTGCATAGTAGCCGGAGAAATAGGCTTATATTTTGATTATGTATGATTATTTATTTAAGATTATGTTGAAACTATTAACACCTAATACCAAAAGCATAATAAACCTTTTAAAGAACTCCTTTTAGAAAAATTACGAACTGATAATGCAGATAATCCTGATAACTAACAATACACAGTGTGTTGTATGTTTAGGCATTTGACAATACACTGTGTATTGTTAGCGAGCTTTCAACAATACACTGTGTATTGTTGAACACCTTTTAACAATACACTGTGTATTGTAGTAGGTACCTATGAGCTTTCAGCAATACACTGTGTATTGTAGTAGGTACCTATGAGCTTTCAACAATACACTGTTTATTGTTGAACACCTTCTAACAATACACTTTTATTTTATTTTTTATTTTTTAATTAGTTTACTTTTGATTTGTAAACTTGACAATTGACATTTATTTAAATGAATTTATTGAAATTATTTGATTGATTTTATTGAATTTTTGAACATGACATTGATTTAAATACAAGTTGTTAGCGTACCTACTACAATACACAGGTATTGTTTAGAAGGTGCGCTCAACCATACATCACTGTATCTGTTTAGAAGTGTTTGTTAGGTTACCAATTATCTGGATAATGCATATCACATTTGTAACTTAGATTCGTGAATATATGAATCGATTATTAAAACAGCCATTCGTTCTGATTAATCAACTGGTTTGCTTGGTAAATCAATACAAACGACTCTAATACACATACTTACACTAAACTTCAAGGAATATACTACATTTTAACAAACATATACATGTATTTAAAGTGAAAAGATTACACACCTTGTAGTTTTGAATTGGTCTCATAGAAATACTTCTGCGTTGGAATCGAGAAAGGTTGACGAGCGTGAACTCCAATGCGTCATGGGAGTTTTAGCAGCGTAGCCGTGAAACCTGACGCGTGATAGAACGGGTAGAAAGACCGAGAGCTCGCGTCTGCGACGGTGGCTCCCTCATCTGTCGAGTGAGCAGGCGTCCGAGTATGCGCTGAAAGATTTCATTTGCATTATGTGCGCAGTTGAAGCACCGTGAGAGTATATTAACCGACAGCCCTGCACACGGATGTTTGTTGTTTGGTGTGTCAAAGGCTAAAACACCGGTTTGCACGACGTATTTACACGGCGTACGCCTAGCACAAATCTTTCCTTTGCACCTTTTGTTACTAGCGTTATCTTTAGAAGCGTGTTTATGCTAGGCGTACGGGCAACTCGACTTTACCAATGTAATATTCAACTAACTTGAGGATGTCACAGACGTTAGAAAGTGCGTTGGCTACTGAACGATTAAGGGTAAAGCGCACCATGTTTTATCACTCCTTCCTCTGCTCCTTTCTGTCACTCCCCCCATATACACCGAAGCTTCGTACTTCATGACCTCCATGGCCTGCTATGAGGTTGAATGTCGTCAGCATGACGCTTTAGGCAGGCCGCGTGGTTCCACTGGAGTAGAGCAACACGCGCTGTGTGTTCCTGCAGTTACTCCTGAGGGAGCGCAGATAGGCAGGGAGCCATATCGCTTCCATCAAGTTTAACGGGAATGCGGGTGGAAGCGATTCGGCTCTGCCGAGACAAACAGTTTCCTAGATAAGCAGCGCCGATTTATGACTTGATGATCATTGCTAGCGCGAGTAAATGAAATGCAATATGGCTGCAGTGTGGGAATGCATCGCCCTGAACTCATAATGACTCGACTTATATATATTATATATTATATATATATATAGTATACTTATATATCGGAGTAGATAATAGGGAATTCCTAATTATTCGCCTTATATGAACTGACATATATTATATATATATATATATCATATATATATAGTATATATATCAGGAGGAGATATAGGAATTTCCTATTATGTTCTCCTATATATATACATATATATACTGGATATCATATATATACACACATATATATACGTATATATAGTATATAGTATTACATATATATACGAATACATATATATACGTATATATAGTATTGTATATATATATTATACATATATATCGAATTACATATATATACATCACATTATATACGTATTATATATATATATATATATATTATATATATATTATTATACGAATGAATGAAAGGAATGCGGACAAGACCTTTATAGCGTTGATGTTTCTGGCGGCGTTGCCTGCAGTCTTGATACTCTCTCGTGTATTGTCACGCAACCAGTCGCGCACTAGTGTCTTTGAGTTGAAAGTAGAACCTCGTCTAACGACAGAGAACACTTATAATATATATATATCCATAAAAATGTCTAAATAGCTTCAACAAGTAATAATAATGATATGGCTTATATCGTTCCCGTGTGTACGTGTTGGCTATAAATGATCTTGAATAACAGAATAAAATACATATAATGTATAAAAAATCATTGCTAAAGAAAGCTTTCTTCTGGCAAGTTCATCTAGTTTACTCTTGTGTAGGAGAACGTGCATCGTTGATAATGTATGTGGTGTTCGTGCTGGTGCGTGCGTGCGTGCGTGGCGTCGCGTGCGCCGTGCGTCCCGCGCGCGTGTGTGTTTGTGTGGATATGCACGTGTAATCTAACTCAATCTTGCGTTGTAGAGAGGGTTTATGGTTTGGATAATGTGTGTATAGTGACGTGTAATCTAACTCACTTCGTGTAGAGAGGTTGTAATCGTAACGCTCACGCTTTGTATAGAAGGGTTGTAATCTAACTCACCTTTGACACCTTCGTGTAAGAGAGGGTTTATGGTGGTGACGGTACCACCCAGTAGACACGCGTAGCGAGCACGAGCGATAGCGCATTACTCGGATATGTTGTAGCTTAGATGGCCAGCCACGTTGCTCTGCAGAACATCGCTTGCTCAGGCCGCTGGCGACTCATCTCGGCGTAGTTGACGTGCTGTTTATGTAGGTGTACTCTCACCTGTGCCGGCGTTATCTACGGAGCGGCAGCAAGAAACCGCTCTCAGCTGTTATACAACGGAGTCTCCCTGCTCTCTCGCTCTCTCTCTCTCTCTCTAGTCTCACGTTCTTCTCTCTCTCTGGTCTCCTATCTCTCTCACTTTACTATCGGCTCTCTCTCTCTGCCTCATCTGCTTCTTCTTCTCTCTCTCTCTCTCTCTCTCTCTCTCTCTCTCTCTTCTGTCTCTCACTCTCCCCATCTCTCCATTTCTCCCTCACACTCTCCTTCTGATATCTCCCTCTCTCGGTAGGCGTGCGTTAAATTAAATTAAACCAATTGTATAAATACCGTACAAACGGCCGTGCTACCCTGTAAACTTCAACGCAACTAAGATATATTTCTTTCTGAGCTCTCGTATACGCTGGCTCAAATGGCCATTAAATTCTTCACTAAAGAATTGGGGATAAGGCTGGGGATATGATTATCACTAACTTCAGTTTTTCTTTGATATCCAGGGAGGTGTTCTAGCTGGGGGATACGATAGCCACCTGCGCCACCATATACTCGTGAGCTAATTAAACAACGCCAAGTATAATAAATTATAGAGAATGAAATGACAAAACTTCAGTCCCTTTTTTCTTTTCACAATCTTTTCATGCGTTCCTAAGACATTTCCTTCCCTATTCTGAATACGGATGGCGCAAAAGTCGTGGTTTTTCAAGCGCAACCAAAAGCCATCCGGCCGCCCTAGATTATATTGATACGCGATAATGCGAATGCGTATGTCGTATGCGTATACGTATATGTGCATAGTAGTATATATGCACACTGCGTATACGTCTCTACCGCAGGCTATATACAGGGCATATCAGCTCACTAATGTTCAACGGGATGTCGTTTCGAACGGATTAACACTATTGTGGCGACAGAATATTAGACTGAATTGATTACTAACACAAATAAAAACACCCGTTTTCAGTGTTTTGACGTGAAATGCGCTTAGGGGCATCGTGCTTGTTCACGACGTTTGAACGAGTTTTGAAAAGAAAGAAAACGGACACAAGCATCGCTTGACATAATTCCGCAGGTATCATGTATACGCTAGTACAGAATGATTTAACTTTCCGAAAGATCAAGTAGCTATCACACGGAGAGGGTGCACGAGAGAGACAACGAAATATACAGACAGCGAGCGAGCGAGAGAGAGTGGGAGAGGGAGAGAGGGAGAGAGATAAATAGAAAGAGAGAGAGAGAGAGAGCGCGCATTCGAGAGTGAAAAAGGGTTTAACTGTAGTCACTTAACTAACGGAAATTGCTTCGACGCACACTCACCAATGCGGCTCGGTTGCCATAGCCGTGAAAACCTTTCATGATATAGCAGGCCAGGTTATCGGGCTCCGGTATGGCGATGGAAGGAAGAGCACTCTTCATGACTGCCATCTCTGTCTCCTCGCGCGTGTACCCACAGTCGCCCACACAGCAGTCCACACTACAGTAGTCCACACTACAGTAGTCCACACTGAAGTAGCAGCGAATGTATAAGAGCCGTCTTACGCTCTATCTTTCTCTCGCTCTCTCTCCTCCCCTCGTCTCCTCGTTCTCGCTCTCTCGTTCTCCTCTCTCTCTCTATCTCCTCTCTCGCTCTCTTCGTTCTCTCTCTCTTCTCTTCTCTGTCGCTCTCGTCCTCCATCGTCCTCCATCTTATTCTAGGCTTCCTTCTCTCTCTCTCTCGCTCTCTCTCTCCCCCTCTCGCTCACTGTGTGTGTTTGCGTGCATGTGTGTGCACATGAATATAGACGAGACACGCCCCGGTGGACTGGATCCCGGAGCGGCTTTCAGGGGCTCAGAGTTTGCGGTCAGTGCTTACACAAGTGCACAGGCTCTTGTAAACCGACCAGGCTCTCCGCCTGTTACACGTCGTAGGTTTAGCGAGAAGGGAACTTGTGGCTAATTAGGCTCTTGGAGCGTTTCAATAAAATATAATGCTAAATAAATACGAATCTATTTACTACCAAAATTTTAATGTTTTCTACTCTCTTCGCCTATTATGCCGTACAATTTCCTGTAAATTCCGTGCAAATGCTCCTCGGCAACACACATGTACACCGCACGCACGCTGCCGCACACTGACACATATAGTGCCTGTGTACAAGTGAGTGCAGCGCGCGAGGGGGGGAGGGCGAGAGGAGGGGGGGAGATTCAGTGTTCTACAGCGGAGGAAAGCTTGCATGCGTGATAAACACGCGAAATCTGCGATTCACTGAAATATAGCAGTAAACTGGGGGGATGAAACACAATTTGTTCCCGAACTAGATGTAAGCATACAAACAATAAAAGCAAATAATAACGCGACACATACTCACACTTAGATAGAGCTATTTATAGGTGTCTACAACTGAGACGACGTAAACTAGTTCGTAGGACTGAGAATGTGACGGAGCGGACAAAACCGGTATGTGAGGGGGTGGTTTTTTTTAGTTTGTGGGCATAATGCTTGCGTTGTGTGATGGAAACTTGCATCGCTGCGGCCATACTTCTTTATTATTCCTTCTTTATTATTCCAACTTGCATCGCTTCTTTATTATTCCTATCATTATTCCTATTGTTATTATTATTATTTTTATTATTATTGTTGTTGTTGTTGTTGTTGTTGTGTTGTTGTTGTTGTTGTTGTTGTTGTTGCTGCTGGTGCTGCTGCTACTGCTACTGTTGCTGCTGCTGCTGCTACTGCTGCTGTGCTGCTCGCTGCTGATGATGATGCATGATGCATGATGTATGGTGTGTGCTGCTGGCACTGCTGCTGCTGATTACTGCTGCTGCTGCTGCTGGCTGCTGCTAGTAGTGTGCTGGCGCTGCTGGTGTGGCTGCTGAGCTGCTGGTGCGCTGCTGCTGCTACTAGTACTACTACTATATTAACTACTACTACTAACTACTACTACTAACTAACTACTACTACTACTACTACTACTACTACTACTACTCTACTACTACTACTACTACTACTACTACTACTGACTGCGCTGCAGCTACTCCGCTGCGCTAACTAGTCTGTAGTTTTGGGATCGAGGTTTCGAGTGTGTACACATAGATATCGTACACTTTGCTCTACATGTGCCCCGTTGCTTGTAGATTAACGTATATGACACCCGTGTGCGCGTGATCTCACGCACCTCAGTGCTTACGACATCCCCATGATCGGTGTGTGGTATACGTGCTTGTGTGCTCGCGCGTGTGTGTATGCATGTATGTATGTGTGTGTGCGTGTGTGCGTGTGTGTGTGTGTGTGTGTGTGTGTGTGTGTGTGTGTGTGTGTGTGTGTGTGTGTGCGTGTTTGCGTGTGTGTGTGTGTGTGTGTGTGTGTGTGTGTGTGTGTGTGTGTGTGTGCGTTGCGCGCGTGCGTGCGTGCGTGCGTGTGGCGTGTGGTGTGTGTGTGTGCGCGCGCGGTGTGTGTATGTGTATGTGTGCGTGTGTTTGTGTGTGAGAGATTGTGTGTGTATTTGCATATGTGTGTGTGTGTGTGTGTGTGTGTGTGTGTGTGTTTTCGTGTGTCAGATTGTGTGTGTATTTGTGTATGTGTGTGTATTTCTGTGTGTGAGTGCGTGTCCGTCTGCCCGTGTCCGTCTGCCCGTGTCCTCGCGCGTGCGCGTGTGTGCGCGTGTCTTCGTGAGAGAGAGAAACCATGAAGGGCGTGACAGAGAGAGTCGAGAGGATTTTTAACCTGTACGAGGCACACGGCAACGTGGACTACATTGGCGAGCCAGTTAGCATTACAGATCACATGCTGCAGTGTGCTGCACACGCACAACACGAGGGTTACCCGCTAGCGGTGAGTGACAACTAGGAATTGGCACGATTTATCGACCGACGATACACTTATATCGATACGTTTGACTATTCACGATACACGTATCAATACTCTACAGAATAAAATTCATATCATTTAGTAGCATAGTTTCATCGAAAAACAAAAGAAACATTACAATTTGCAATTCCATGGCAGGTGTTTACGAAGCGCTCCATGAGACTGAATAAGCCAGTTCGTAGTTAGGCAAGGGGTTGTGTGACGTCACAGGTCACCGGGTCATTTGTGACAAAAAACGATGAAATAGCGAGTGCGGCGTGCGCTCTCGGTTCAGTATACATATATACATGTATGCTGTGTACGTGTACACGCACGCATGTGTACGTGCACACACATGCACGCACGCACGCACGTGTACGTGCACATGCACGCACACACGCACGTGTACGTGCACACGCACGCACGTGTACGTGCACACGCACGCACGTGTACGTGCACACGCACGCACACACGCACGTGTACGTGCACACGCACGCACACTCGCACGTGTACGTGCACACGCACGCACGCACACACTCTTACGTGCACACGCACGCACGCACGCACTCTTACGTGCACACGCACGCACGCACGCACGCACGTGTACGTGCACACGCACGCACGCACGCACGTGTACGTGCACAAGCACGCACGCACGCACGTGTACGTGCACACATACGTGCACACGCACGCACGCACGCACGCACGCACGCACGCACGTGTACGTGCACACGCACGCACGCACGCCCGCACGTGTACGTGCACACGCACGCGTACGTGCACACGCACGCACGCACGCACACACGCACGAACGTGTACGTACACACGCGAAGACTGTAGCATTACAACGACACAGATGCATGCGTATGTGTACTGTACGGTCGAAATACGAAATATTTTGTCACAAATGACGTGACCCGGAAGAATTCGTGGCTACGTTGCGCAGACTGTGACTACGAACTGGCTTATTGTAAGCGTTCACATCGTTATAGTGCCGGTTAAACACATAGTTTGCTATGCGGTTTCTCTTGAGAGTATCGTGATGCGTATGCTATTGGCAAAGCTGTACTGTGATACGTATCGTGTCGTGAGCTACCCGTATGGTCCTGCCCCAACTAACTATTCAGACACCGGAGTGTGGACGTGCGGCCACGCAGAAAACATGCTCACACGACCTCCTCCTCCTCCCACTCCTCCACCTTCTACTCCTCTTCCTCCCCTTCTTCCTCCACCTCCTCAACCACCTACTCCTTCTCCTCCTCCCACTCCTCCACCTTCTACTCCTCTTCCTCCCCTTCTTCCTCCACCTCCTCAACCACCTACTCCTTCTCCTCCTCCCACTCCTCCCCTCCTCCTCCCCTTCTTCCTCCTCTTCCTCCTCCTCCTACTCCTACTCCTCCTCCTCCACCTCCTCCTCCTCCTCATGTCTCCTATTTGCTCTCACACGGATCACGCACTGGCAGTTCCAACAAATCAGAAAAATAAAAATAATGTATAATAATCTTATTGCACACTAATAACTCTCCTATCTGCGGTAAACAACAGTTACTCCTCACTGCAAAAGCAAATCCTATCGTCGGCGCGAATGCTGACTATCTGCACTACGCTGCGTTCTCCCCATACATAATATCAGGAGTTTATCAATAGGAGTGCAGACAGACTAAAACCGGCAAAATTCAACATTTAGTAGCCTTAGTCTACCTATGATATTATTGTGTTTACCTCGATAAACTTGAGCTCAAGTCTTGCCTTAACATTAAACTTTATCCGTGTCTAATCGTTGCGTCTCACAAAAATGACAAATCGGGAGATATCGCGTCCAACGTACAATGTGGTTTTTGAAAGTGTATATCCCATTTTTAACAACTGTGAACCGAAACATAAGGGCAATGCTTTTGAAAGCCCTCTATCGCTTAGCAATGCAAACATAGCAAACAACTAGCGAGGTTTGCTAGGATTTCAGAAAGTTAAACACGCCTTGTTGTTATTATAGGCCATGTCGACTGACAGTAATTACATGTTATGAACAATATTGTTAAGAACAAATAAATGGATAAAAATACTAACACATGTGAAATTTTTTTATTTCTAATGGTAAATAGTATCAATAACACCAAGTCGCGTTTAACTTTCCGAAATCCCTAGCCAAACCTCGCTAGTTGTTTGCTATGTTTGCATTGCCTAAGCGATAGCAGCGGCATTTCAAAAACATTATGTTTCGGTTCACGGTTGTTGATTTCACGATATAACTTTCTAAAACCACATTGTACGTTTGGACCGATATCTCCCGATTTGTCATTTTTGTGAGACCAACGATTAGACACGGATAAAGTTTAATGATTAAGGCAAGACTTGAGCTCAAGTTTATCGAGGTAAACACAATAAATCATAGGTAGACTAAGGCTACTAAATGTTGAATTTTGCCGGTTTTAGTCTGTCTCACTGATAATATGATAACAATCTATGTATGGGGATTATTATCTATGGGGATTATTATGTATGGGGAGTACGCAGCCTAGTGCAGAGAGTCAGCATTCGCGTCGACAATAGGCTTTTCTTTTGCAGTGAGGAGTTGTTTACCGCAGATAAGAGAGTTATTAGTGGTGCAATAAGATTTATTACACATTATTTTTACTGATTTGTTGGAACTGCCAGTGGGATCC